CAGGGGAAAATGAAGTACTCAGTATAACTCGAAGCGAGTCAATACAACTCATCAAACTCAGCACGAGCCACAATGTCAAGAGAACAAGAAATGTCAGTATCTAAGAAAACATCAGGAACTCAGTGAAAAACAATAGATCATAACGAGTTAAAATCGAGTTATATGGTTTTTGAGAAAATAGTTTTATTTTTCAAAGAATAAATTCGATTGTACAAGAACAATTTTTCTTTTTTTCATGAAATAAATTCGATTTTTCAAGATCCACAAAAATTAGAAATTACAGAAACCAAAAACGAAAAACTTTCCACACAATAACTCGCTTTGATACCACTTGCAAAGGCCTAGATAGAATTATTTTGTGGTATTGACGATTTTAACAAAAAATAATTTGCAGAATAACAAAAATCAGAGCACAACGAGCCCCAAGAGCGATTTGGATGTTCAATCTTTCGATCTAGTAAACCGTTGAGCATCTGCATCACATATAACTCAAGATCCACTAAGAAGAGCCAATAAATTATTACAAAATGTACGAAGAAACAATATGTTTCTTCGATATCTCTCAAGCCTCTTTTCAGAAAGTAATCACAAAGATGAACCTCTACAATGGAAGCACTCAACTCTTATTTACATCACAGAAGGAAGAAACATCACTAAGATTGATTTCAGATTTTACAGAGAAAATCGGCAAACCCTAACTACACTCAGAGAAAGGAAAAAGGCAGAGAGAGTCACGAAGCATCCAGAAGAATGAAGGGCCAAACCAAGTTAAATATCTGGTCAAAATGTCACGATCCGAGGGGTGAGTATCAGCCATGTGTACGACTGATACTTGACACTTCAGAGGCAATAAAAATGCATTTCCAAAAAATGCTTTTCTTTAAAGACTTCTAACACTTGAAATAATCAACCCAAAACAAACAACCCGATCCAAGTAGAGAATTTGGGCCAAGAATTGTGAGGCAACCCAAAACCAATTTAACACCGCGTTCAATAAGATGAAAAATACATAGAAAATATTCTTTCTAAACTATAGAAATAGTCTTTCTCTAACTTTTGATACTGCTAGTAAAAATTGAACATGTATTGCACGTTATTCTAAAAAAACTTTATAAGTGATGTAAAAGTAATACTCCCTCCGTCCCAATTATATATGTCTGTTTCGTTTTTCACACGGATTTAGAAATCATATTTAATGTCATTAGAAAATTAATTTTTATTAAGATCTTCCCCAATTTACCCCTATTTAATTTTTAATATGTAGTAGTAAATTATTGTTGGAATTGGTAAATAATTTGAATGATTTAATTTGAAGAAGAAGAAATGAAAATTGTTCCATGTTTTCAAGAAGTGGGAATGTGTGTATTTGGATGATTTCAAGAAGTTGACATATTAAGTGGGGAAAATTGAATAAAGGTATATTAGTAAAGGAACAAAATAAAATATTCTAAATTAGGAAACAAGACTATATATTTGGAACAAGAGAAAAATGAAACTTAGCCTATATATTTGGGACGGATGGAGTATTTGGTACCAATTTGTTGGAAAATTCAATGAGTCTTGAACGAATTAAGAAAATAAAATTTAGCATAGAAATTTAATCAAATTGTACTCTCAAAACTCAATTTCTATAGCAATTTTTTTATATTACATTTGATATATAAAAATTAATTGTCAATACATAAATTTAAATATCCATTAAAATTTTTAGATACATGAATATGAATAAATTCGTCTATAATAACTTTAGATCCATGTAATTCAAAATTCAACAAGTGAAAGTTCATTGAATCTAGGTTAATGTGAATTTTAATTAATTGAAAATTAATAAAACAAATTTCATAAATGATAATAATTATGTAGTATTTATTACGAAAAATAAAAGTAAGGTAATTAATAACACAAATTTCATAAATGACAATAATTATGTAGTATTCAAAATTTTTGTAATAATGAAATACTATAAGGAGCAATCTTTTTATATTATGTTTGATATATAAAAATTAATTGTTAATACAGAAATTTAAATATCCATTAAAAATTTTAGATACATGAATATGAATAAATTTGTCTATAATAACTCTAGATTCATGTAATTCAAAATTTATCAAATGAAAATTCATTTATTTCAGGTTAATGTTAATTAATTGAAAATTAATAACACAAATTTCATAAATGATAATAATTATGTAGTATTTATTACATATCAAAAAATGAAAAATACGGTAATTAATAAAACAAATTTTATAAATGACAATAATTATGTTGCATTTATTACATATCGAAAAACAAAAAGTAAGTTATTATTGAAATAATTGAATTATAGTGGGGTTAAAATTGTCCAAAAAATGATTCTCCCTTAATGTAATATTTTAATATATTATAAATGTGCTTTATTGTTAGTAATTGGTATATGCATTTAGTAGCACTATATCTTGAAAATGATTATTTGACTCTAGTAAAAAAATTATTTATTGTTAAATACATTGCAATGATGAACTTACTAGTCACGTTATACAAATAATTGCACGTTCTTTACAAGAGTTTCATTCGATTAATAAAATATTTAGTGTAAATTGTACAAGATGTGTGGTTCACGATGTCATTTTACGACATTTACATTAGTTAATATGTTCTTTTCGTTTTGGTAAGATATTTGAATATAATTGTTTTGTTCAGAATTTACAATCAATGACAAAATTTGGTGATCATATATTAAAGGTATTTTAGGTAAATTGAGGAATGCGAAATCAGAAATAAGGAAGGGGTAAATGCTGCATTCCCCATGATTTTCGTTATATTACGTAAAATAATTTAATTTTTCACATAAATTTGAACAAAATTATAATGGTCTAGGAACGTTGATTTATCACAGATATGAGATAACTATTTTTTATAATATTTGCACTTTGTTTTATGACTTAACTTATATTTTGTTATACCAGTTTTGTCAAATATTTCGTTAGATTTCTTAGTGTATGTAGAAAACACATTCAAAACTATCTGTCATCGTATATATCAATTATCTTTTATTAGCTCTCCCATCTCAAATTATTTGGGGTTGAACATTACTTTCAGGCACTTCAAAACAATTTAAATGTTACATTTGATACAAAAATGTAATCGTTGCGAGGAAGAATTAACGTAGAATTATATATTTTGCTTTGTAGTTCGAAACGACATAGATTTAACTTTTCCAAAGTTTGAAATGTATAGTCAATATGCTCGGATCACCAACGTGAAATAAACATTATCAGAGGCTAATTTGTTTAATATACTTCAATGGTGGAATGTACAACTTTATCAATATTCAATATTGTCCAATGTAGCTCGAGACAATTTCACAAAACCCATTACTTTATCAATACTTTATAAACTATAATCTCTCATGGGAGACCATATATTACATCGAGATGGATCACGTGATCTAGGCAATAATACAACTAGAACAGAAGCGCACATTTGTATTTGTCAATGACTTCAAAAAGATAATGGTTTCATTTCAACATCTTTTCAAATGTGTAACTGCAGACTGTGAATATATATATGTTTAGGGCAATCCCAAATCCAGATAAAAGAGGAATATTTTACAAATTTGTAATTTCTTGCTTTTTACAAATTTACGTCCATTTATAGGAGTGAAAATGCAATTTTAGAAGAGAAAAAAATGACGAGTATGGAATAGCTCTTGAGCCGAGCTGAAGTTTCTCGAGCTAAGTCGAGTCGCTCAACTCACCCCTTGTAATACTCCAAAACTAATTCATTCCTTTTCAAAACTTGAAGCCACTATAAGACGCAGTGTGTGCCATGGGTGTGAAAACATCATTCATGAGTCTAACTTATAATTATAAAACATTTATTATTTGAAATAATTGAATTGAGAATTATCCATTTTATTACTTATTGTAAGCAATCTAATTGGACCTCATAAATAATATATAAACTGTGGAGTGGAAGCAAAGGTTGGTCACTGGTCACTTTCATTCCTGGTGGTGATTACTTATAAATATATTATGTAAATAGGTGCACTAATCATCTTGATTCTTTTTTCTTATTATTAATGCTTATTTTACTATATAATTTTGTTCTCTTTTTATATATGTAAGTAAAACTCCTCTTTCGCACTAATGAAGAGTGGGGACACAATTATTGCTCCCATTATGATTATTACAACAATTATTTTTATTTTTCTAGTTGTTTTTATTAATTTCATTATTATTATTAAGAGCATGTTCGGGAGGGATTTTTTATTCCAAAAAATTAATTTTTTGACCGTTATTTTACTATTCCAACCGTAATTTTTGACTTATTTAACAAGTGGATCTTACTTTTCTTTTAACGATCAAAAAATTAATTCTCAAAATCCCTCCCAAGCGGGACCTAAATAATCGATAAATTATATTATATGTGAATGAATGTCAAAAGTAACATATTTTTGTCAAGTCTCTTTTGCTTTGGCCCTTTTTAGTGTAACTTAAAAAGTTGATAAGCATTTACATCAAATTTATTAATTAATTTTAACCTTATATTTTTCACTCGAAAAATGTTAAAATTTTGGATCTTTTGTTCGTTTTGTCTTACTTTTCATGAAAATTGTCAATTAAAGGGATAAATATTTTTACAATTGTTTGTAGATTTTGTTCCCATTACTGAAAATTAAAAAAAAATGAAGTTGAAAATCATTTTCTCACCAAAATCAAGGGAATTGGTTTTCCTTAAAAAGCTAGAAAAGAGAGTCGCGTGGGATGGGAAATGGAAAATCAATTCCATGGAATTTGTTTTCAATCAAACACCCAATTTTGGTCCATTTTCCATGGAAAAGAAAAAAAAAAGGCTTATCAAACATGGCCTAAATGCAAAATAAACCTAACAATAGAGTCTGCAATTGGGGATTTTTTATTTTGATTTTTCATTCAATACTATCTAATTCAATATAATTGAATTAATATTAATAAAAAGTATGTTTATATATAATAAAATTTCATATTCACAATTAAAAGAAAATCAAAATTTCCAATGTTCACATATAAAATTTCATATTCACAATTAAAAGAAAGTCGAGTTTCCAATTTATATATAGAGAAAATTGAAAAGAAAAAAACTGAGGGTAAAATTTACTGCTTCCATGTTGTGGTAGAAGGTGTTGCAGGCACAAGAGTTGCACCAGCACCAGCACCGGCACCGGCACCAGCAGCACCACCTTCACCACTTCCACCACCGCCACCACTATCAGTACCAACAGTAGGACTAGCAGCAACTGTAACCGCCACAGTAGATGCACCACCGCTGACGGCAGAAGAGGCCGACCTTTTCCGCCGTTTCTTCTCATAGGGTATTCCTCTGGCCTTAGTCTGACTTTCTTTCACTTCTCTAAGATATAACCTCACGGCTTTAGCACCAAAAGGATTGGTCTCCTGCTGACCACCGTTCTCTTCATAGGCTGCCCTGAGCCGGCCGATTAGTGCATCAAGACTGCCCCAAGCCTGCTTCAAAGGGCACGCGCAGGGGGCAGGAGGATTCGGGTGACCGAAATACGGGCAGCCTGTTACATGTACCTTAGTTTTCCCGAACTGGTCTAGGTATTTCAAGAACTCAATAACGTGAGCTCCGCTGCAGCTGGCTAGAGTCAGCGGCGGCTTGTGGGTTTTTAGGTATTGTAGAAAAGTGTTCCAGTCTCGACGCTTCTGCGACTCATAGCGACTCGGAGTTGGCTCCGTTGACCCACCTGCACCGTCGCCCCCAGCCTCTTCTGCGCCTCCGCTGGTTGATGATGGAGCCCCATCCCCTCCATTCGGGCCATTTCCTCCTGAATTCATCTGTTTTTTATGGTTAGAATCAGTAAAATTAAATCAATTATAGCCCATGCGAGTTTGCAGCTCTTCTTGTACCCCCTCTCTGTCTCACTAGTTGGATTTCACTGATACTGATGCGGATTCTGTCAAAAATCACACTAAATTTCCTCCTAATTATTGGTTTATTCGGCTACTATTCTGGGTCAAGAGCGTTTTCAGGATGCAAAGTGTTTCTTGTGTGAGAAAGAAAGAAAGAAAGAAAGAGGGAGAAAGAATTTGATGGGACGTATAAAACACAAATGTAAATAATTGGCCGAACGAATGAGAGAGACGACTCTATCTGACTATCTTCTACTACACTAATCTAGACGGAGAGGTACGTAGAGAGAGAAAGAGAATTCGATAGAGTTTGAAATGGATCAAGGACTCGAAATACACAGACACTCGACATGAAAAGATTAGTTAGGTTATAATATATAAAGGGTTAGTTTTTGTATTTATTTATTTATTATTTTTGTTGTTCTCTCTGTCTTATTATATAGGGTAAAAGTCTTTTCTCCTCCAAGAATCTGTACTATGTTTACTTATTATTAATGAAACGAAAGCGATACCACATTGGATAAAGGGTGCAGGATTTTCACATGGCGGCCCCATTTTTGTCAAGTATTCAAACCATGGCGGCCCCGCCACTCTCATCCGCCATGCATTTTTCGCAGTTTACAGTAACGTACGCTGCCGTGTCTGAAACGCATCACACTGCTATTTTCTACTCTTCATCTTAATTGAACCTTGTTGTGTCAACATGCTTTGTTGTGGAAATTTCATCTTTGGTCTTTATCAAAGTTGTACGTACGTACGTGCTGATGTTAAAAATAAGGAAAATGCTTGTTGTACGTGGTTATTGACAAATTCTTTTACATGTATCGATAAATTGAATTAAAACTGTCAAAATTTTTTTACCACTTAAACAATTGTGATTGAGTAATTTGGGTTATTTGCAAAAAGGAAGTAGGGATTTTTTTTATTTTTTATTTTTTTTGTGTTTTTGTTGATGAAATTTTGACTTAGTCAAATCTCGCCATACCTGGTACACAAAATTTGTAAATTGTGATGTACATATAACATACTCGTAAAAATAATGTCATTGCAAATATCGAATTCAAAAGTTAGTGTCTGATTTTTCCACCATTTTTATCGAAATCTCTCTAACCATCAAGTAAAAAGAATGGTAAAATACTAATGGTTGCGTTTAAATTGATTATTTTTCAATTTGATAAAACCAGTCCTTTTTACAGGATGAATGAGTGTTATGTTTTATTAGATTAGGCCCCTGTTTGGTACTCATTTTTGGAGCCAAAAATGCATTTTTTCCGTCACATCAGCACACAATTTTTGACTTCTACACTCTAATGGGGGACCCGCGATATGATGTTTAAAATGCATTTTCATCTAAAAAATGTGCACCAAACGGACTCTAGAAATGAAATGTAGTATTGTTGTAAATAAAATTTGCTCTTCTTTTCAATATTTTTAGTATTGCTATACAATTTTATATTGATTGGAACTAAGAGACAAAGAGAGTTAAATAATTGATTAAAAATATATTTGTTGTAAATATTTTGGATGTCGAACTTGTTGGGTTTTGATACCCAATTAATTCCTGGCGATGAAGTCAAATCGATATTGGACAATTTATATTAACACCTTAGTGATGGTTCGACCCGGAAACAATTTGGGACAACTAGAAGTAACTTAATTAAGTTAAAGTTACTCATAGCCCAACACTCGTGGATGACCCAAATTACTGAGTTGGATTGGCCCATTTATTCTTAACATTGCCCCTTTTGTTGGAGGCCCAATACCTTGGTTTTTCCACTAGACTTGGCCCCATATTTGGTGACCTAATCAACCAATACATATGTGTTTATGCGCGCGCAATAGAGGAGAAGTGATGAGGTAGTCGTTTTTGGTTGTTCGTTTGAGAGTTCAACCATTGCACCCATTTTCCTCCTCCCTTTGTGATATTGCTGCCACTATCTTTCTCCTTTATGGGTGAAAATCAGTGGCAACCGAAGTGTTAAAGTTGTGGATCAGAGCCTCCTCGGTTGGTGTTTGTTTGGTAAGTAACTTGAGCCCAAAATCAAGATTTCTCAAGAAATTTCCGCAACAGAACCAGCACGAAATTAATTCTATGTGTATTTGTTTAAGTCTTGCATTCGTGAATTACAATGTGTACATTTGATTGTTCTATTAACATTGAAGATACAACTGGCTTGTTTCTTATTTCCATGTATGCAAGCAAAGCATGAGATATTCTAAACGTATATTCTTGTATTTCAAAATTTATACATGTTCTTTAATCTCATTAGTAATGATCTATAATTATATGCATCTATAGTGTTGTATCTTCAATATTTAAGACACATTGAATGTAAATCTATATTGATAAGGGTGTTTTGCATGCTTATTTCAGTACTAACATAATATTTAGTTTATATTAATCGACTAGTTTATAGTCACTTTGCGTTATATTTGATTTTTATAGGTTAAACCCTTAATTTGAAGGTTAATTAAGCAAAGGGAGTAATTTGGAGACTAATTGCACAAAAAGGATGGAGATGCATAACTACCGAAAATTATTAGGACTTAATACGTAATTAGAAGACGTAATTAGAAGTTAACTGGAAGATTTCATCAATTTTTGGAACGAAATCGAACTCTTTATAATGTTTGGGGACCAGTATTATCAAGAGTGGACATTGAAGAACCAAAATTGGATGAAAATAGTAGTTCAATGATCATATTTGCAATTTAAATTTCAAAAGTCCAAATAATATAAAGCCTATGTCTGGTTTAACTAAAAAAATTAATAAAATCTAAGTCAAAATTAAATTAACAATTAATTCTAATCATCCATTACATAGAACTCACTTTTTTTTTAATCAATATTCAATCACATATTTCATTAACTTTTACAAGATTATTATATATCTAATTTTTAGCAAAACTAAATAAGGATAAAGAATAGACCAAGTTCGGCGAGATGGGCCATAAGATACCATCAGAGCTAGTGGTATGTTGGGCTTTATTATAAGTATAATGATATTTGTACATTGGAAAAAATTCATAAGTTAGACATTAAATAGAGCAATTCAATGTTCATGCTTTAAGTTTCAAAATGTAAAATTCAGGTATTAATCATTTAGTTAAAAATATTTTATTAATTAAATATATTAATGTCACAATTATACAATTAATTGTTACATCTACGTACTTATATATTACAAAGTCACATATTAATAAATTAATTAGTTACATATTATTTCATAGTCACAATAAAAATTTGGATAGGTCACTACTTATTTCATAAATCACAAATCAAAAGAATTATAGATCACAATTTTATTTTTTTTTTATCACAAATTTTCAAATCAATTGGTCACAAATTATTTTTCAATTTCAAATTATTAAATTTTTAGGTCACAATTATATACTTGATCACATACCACCACCACCACTAACAACACTATCACCACGCCCACTTGAGACCACCCTCTCCTGCCATCATCGCCTCCACAACAACTCCACGACACCACCATCACCAATACCACCACCTACAAAATCGCCACAGCCAGATTTACTGCTAACAAAAACCATTTCAACACCAAAACATGAAAACCACCACCGCTACAACTCTGGCAACATCACAATTAGAAAGAAAAACCTTTCTTCCTTATGATTTTTATCTACCAAAGTATAAGTTTTTATGTGCAAATTTTCAGATTTCTAGTAATAATTACATCTCTTATTTCAATTTCATTCTCCACATCAATTACAAATTCAATTTTCCAGATAAATTACAATTAAAATTCAATCTGTTTTAGCAAAATACGTTGTAATTCATGGATTTGAGGTTTTTGTTCGTAATAGTATATATGAAATTTCAACTTTGGATCAATGATGATGATTATATTTTCAGCCCCTTCTTTTTTTAATGTACAAGCACAGCTTTTTCATAAATTATTTTTTATTTTTATTTTTATTTTTCATCCAGTTTCTTATGGCCCCGTTTGGTAGGGATTTTTTGACCGTTATTTTACTATTCAAGTCGTAATTTTTGACTTCTTCTCTCACATGTGGACCCCACTTTTCTTCTAACGGTCAAAAAATCAATTCTTAAAATCCCTACCAAACGGGCCCATATTGTGTGTATGCTTAGAGCCAGAATTTTGTTCAATAAGAAAAGTAATACAGAGAAAAGATTTAGCTCAATCTTTCTTTTTGGGCATTCGCTTTTTTATGTAGGCACCAAGACATGGGCTTGTTGCTCTCTATCTTGTTAAGCTACAACGATCATCCTCAAAATGTGTGTCATCACACTGCTTACGTAAACTCCATTATTATAAAATTTTCTACTGCTTACCAATGGTGATGTTTCTACATAACTGTGGCATTAGTCATTCTAACTAGTTAGAGTCATGTGGTCTGACCTCATCATAATCAACGATTTTCGATAATAAAGCTTCTTTAATCACTTTGAAGTATGTACCCACTCTGTTCGATGTGGCCTCCTAACATCGGACATCAATAAATATCATTTTTATTCACACATTTTATAGAAATTCTAACTTAATTTACAAAAAGTTTTACCAACCTTGCTCTTAAAAAAATAAAAAATAGAAAGAACTCACAAAACTGGAGCTGTCAATGAATTGGATTTTGATCTGAATTCAATTCGAATTCGATGAAATTAATGGGAGATGAATTTAGGGTTTCAATCCGATAACCCAATCGAGATCCGAATCCGATAATCCATTAACTAAATGAATCAAATATGGATATAGGTCAATCCGATTCACTAATAACCCGATCCGATTTATTAATAATATATTATATTTTTTATATTATCGTATAATTTATGACACAGTGTTCCCATTTTGAAAATTGTATTATATTTTACACGTAATTTTTAAATAATAAATAATATTATATAATAGTATAATATTTTTAATTGAAAATTCTAAAGAGATTTAATTTTTTTATTAACTAAAATAAGATAAAAATAATAATTAATTTATTAATTAGATTTACTATAGTAATTTGTTTTATAACATAAAAAACTAACAATTAATATGTCGAAAGATAAATTACTTTATTCAAATTGATTTTGTTTGCAATTAAGATTTTATTGAGACTATGATTTTTAATGAAAATAATAAAGTAAACTAGTAAACACTTAGAATTGACAAATGATTATGATTAGAGTGAATTGTCCAAATGGTTACTGAACTTTGTAAAAAAATTTCAAGTGGTCACTGAACTTTACAAAAGGTTTCTACTGGATCATTGGACTTTAAAAGTCATATAAATGATCACTGAACTTTACAAAAAGTTTTCACAAAGTCACTAAATTCAGTGATTCTTGGGAAACCTTTTGCAAAGTTCAGTGACCATTTAGGTGATTTTTAAAGTTCAGTAACCCCGTATAAACATTTTACAAAATTCAGTGACCATTTAGG